TCCTACAGTGCACAGGACGGAGCCCACAGCAAAGAAGGGCCCCAAAGGTCCACAGCGCCGGGAAACTGCGGGTTTAGAGGGAAATGGGGCCCGGCTCTGGTCCCAGTTTGGGGGGGGCTGGTTTCTGGAGACTCTTGTGAGCCCGGCAGCTGCTCCGCCCTCTTCCTGCCGCAGACATCAACGAGTGCGCCCTGGACCCCGACGTCTGCACCCACGGCGCGTGTGAGAACCTGCGCGGCAGCTACCGCTGCGTCTGCAGCCCGGGCTACGAGGCGGGCGCGGCCGGCAAGGAGTGCGTGGGTGAGCGCGCCCCGCGGGACGCGGGCAGGGGCGGGGCCGCCCCCGCTGCACACCCCTCACCGCGCTCTCCCCCGCCCCCCCCCGCCTTGTAGACGTGGACGAGTGCGCTCGCAACAGCCTCCTGTGTGGCAACGGCTGGTGCCGGAACAACCCCGGCAGCTACAGCTGCTCCTGCGCCCAGGGCTTCGGCTTCCGGCAGGACACGGAGACCTGCGAAGGTACCGGCTCCCGGCGCGCTGCCCGCGGCGCACGCGCACACAGACACCCGTGCGGTGTGTACCCACGCAGGCGCACACGCGTTCCAGCGCTTACGCTGCACCCTGTGTACGCGCACGCGCTCTCAGACACGTGCATGCTGGGCGTGCGCACACAGGCACGCCCCCGGGCGCTCACACCCCCTTCCGCACTGCGTGTGCCGGGTGCCCACAGGCGTATGTATACTCACACACTTGCACAAGGCTGCGTGTGGTGCGTACACACAGACACATGCTGAAAGATGCATGTCTACTCATTCACACTCACATCCACACCATCACACTTCCAGGCATAGTCACACTTGGTCTCACACAGTCATACACACGCATGGGTGTGTGCACTCAAACGCACATACACCCACATTCACACATCCACTTATTGCTACACTTTACCCACTTGTACTCACAGCCACACACAGTCGCACACTTATGCATGCATTCAGACATTCACACAATCACACGTGTGTGCATACAACCAGACACTCAGTTACGCGTATTGGTACTGACTCAAAACACAGCTATACCCACAGTCACCCTCGTAGACATGCCTACACAGTCATGCACGCTCTCAAAGAAATGTGTGTGCCCACATTCTCACACTTTCGCACTTAGGCTCACACTCAGATGTGTGTTCACACACCCGTGCCCTTGTGCACGTACACACACGTGTTCAGGCAGGCACACACTTTGCAGCAAGGTACTTGTTCCCCAGCACTCACGCCCCCTTGCTCCCTCTGCATGACTCTACCTCCCCCCGGGGGCCTTTTGAGTCCTCTCCCTCCCCTGACCACCAAAGCTCTCCACCGCACCAGTCACCACACCCACCTCGCCCTACTCCTGAGTAACTTCTGTCCCCCACGTGTCCCTCCCCAGACCCCATTCCATTCAGCCGCTGCATCTACCTGTTCCCCGGTCACATCCAGCCCTTGTCTTCTCTGGGCTTTCTTCCTGCCTCTCACTCTCATCCTCTCGTGTGCCAAGACCCCCTTGAAGGTCTCTGTTCCACACTGTGTCTGTCCCTCCACATCGGTCATGGGTGTGTGCTCACAGGATCCTGCATGTCAGCGCGCTTGATGGGCGTCCAATGCAACTCAGTGCAAGCACACGTGGGCAGCCTGCCTGCATGCGTGTGCCTTGTCTGGTCAAGGACACGCATGGACATCCATGTGCCTGGTGTGCATCCTATGCCACTGGACCCTGGCAGCCACTGGGGAGGAGGGGGGCCCTGGTCAGCTGGGGCTCCCCCTCCCACAGCTCAGGACCCAGTGGGGGGCTGTCCTTGCAGACATCAACGAGTGCCTGTCCAACCCCTGTGTCAATGGCGCGTGCCGGAACCTGGCCGGTTCCTATGCCTGCGAATGCGCCCCTGGCAGCCGGCTGGGGCCCTCCGGCACCATGTGCCTTGGTGAGAGGGCCCCAAGTCCCATGGAGTAGCAGGGACCCTGCTGCCCAGCCCTGCATCCCACCCTGGGGAAGGCTGGGTCTCTGTGGGTCGGCTGGCGGGTGAACTGGGTCACCCCCTCCCCCGCAGATAGCACCAAGGGCACCTGCTGGCTCAAGGTGCAGGAGGGCCGCTGTGAAGCGAACCTGCGCGGAGCCCCCCTGCGGTCCGAGTGCTGTGCTACCCTGGGCGCTGCCTGGGGGAGCCCCTGCGAACGCTGTGAGCCCGGTAATGCCCTGGGAACCCCCCCCGCCACGGGAGCTCTTGGGGACCAGCCAGGCATGGCCACCGTGGTTGCCTGGGTGCCTATTGAGAGAACCGGGCTCTGGATGGAGAGAGTGACTCCTGTCCCCACTCTGGTTCTCCCAACCGCAGACCCTGCCTGTGCCCGTGGCTTTGCCCGCATGACGGGGCTCACCTGTGAAGGTAACTCCCTGCCCCTCTGTAGTTCACGCCTCCCCCTGAGTTGCACACGGACAGCTGCACGTCGTGGGGGATGCCTGGGCTCCTGAAGTCTTTTGAGACCGAGACAGAGATTCTCCCTCCTCGGTTCCCAGGTCTTCCCCCGAGATTCCCCAGGCCCCGAGGCTGGCTCTGTTCCTTCCCACCTCCCCAAGGACACCCTGGGAGTCCTGAGCCCCCAGGGAAGCAGCTCCAGCCCTTGCCCCTCCTCCTTTTCTGTCCCTGCCCAGATGTGAACGAGTGCGAGGTCTTCCCCGGGGTCTGTCCCAATGGGCACTGCTTCAACACTGCTGGCTCCTTCCGCTGCGTGTGCCCCGACGGCTTGACACTGGACACCACGGGCCGGCTGTGCGTGGGTGAGTCCGTGCGGGGCCCCCTGCCCTCTGTCCCTTGTCCCCACCCCAGTGCCTGGAGACCCCTCCTGGGGACAGAAGGGATTTGGCGAGACCTCCAGGACCCTCTGCTCCCTGCTCATCTCTTGCTGACATGTCTCAAAAGAGGGCCTTGTTTATTTTCGGGGTTCACCCTTTCACTTCCCTGCCCTTTAACGAGGCTCAGTGCACATGGTAAGATCTTGTGAAATAGCATCTGCAACTTTTATTTATTCTTTCTCGTTACCAAAGAGTATTGACTCAGGGTGGATCTGCTCACCAGGCACCCTTAGCATGCCTGGAATCTCCCTCAGCATCCGGGGCTCAAACGCTCCCTCTGAATGGCTCCCCCTCAGGCTCAGAGATCGGAGATGTTTTCCTCCTCGGTGAGGGTTTCTTGGTCAACATCTTGAAGCAGACATTTCTTGGCCAAAAGCGTATCTCAGGCAGCAGACGGGGCTCTGTCTGCCGTCCAGTTCCTCCTGCAGTTAGCTAGGAGCCTTCTTGTAGGTTCCTTTTCAACGTTGCTTACCTTCTGAACCAAGTTTTAGGCGTGCAGTGGGTCTCCCACCCCTAGCCCCAAAATGTAACCAAGGAAAGGAAGTAACCGAGTAAAGAGAAAAAAGCCATTGCATCTCAGGCCCCATGTGCCAAATTCAGGGCCAGGTGAACGGGGAGGCTCCGACTGCAGCCCCGTCCTCTCAGATGGGACCATTAGCCCGAACCAGGGCACTGGGTACAGGGGAGGATCCCTGTGTGTGTCACAGGGCTCCCAGAGGTTCTCGAGGTTCTAGAACAGGGTCTCATCTTCACATCGACCCGCCTAAATGTGTGTTCCTTTTGTAAAGAGAGAGAAATTGTCCTAGACCAGCAGTCAGCAAACTTTTACTGCAAAGGGCCAGGGTTAGTATTTTTGGCTTTCGGGCCACACAAATCTCTGTTGCAGCTACTGAGCTCTATCGTGTAACACAAAAACAGCCACAGACAATACGAAAGTAAGGTGATATGGCTGTGTGTCCATAAAACTTTATTTATAAAGACAGGCGGCCACCCCCGGGCTGTAGTCAGTGGCCCCTGTCTTAGACCCTTGTGTCTGGTCTCGAGGGAGGCTTATCTGCTGTCAGGTTGTTCTGAGGGAGTCTTACAGATTAAGCACACGGTCTGGAGCCAGATGGCCTGGTGTGAACGCAGCTCTGCCTTTTGCTAACTGTGTGGCCTCGGGCAAGCCACCTAACCCTTCTGTGCCTCGGTTTTCTTGCCTGTAAAATGGACGTGACCATAAGAGGTTCATCTTGGTGTTATTTTGAAGATTAAATGGGTTGAGGAGCTGAGGACGGCGCCCAGCACATAGCAAGCCCCTTAGCAGGACAAGTTATTGCCGTTAAAATGTCACCGCTGGATGACACCGAGGGTCAGCAGGAAGAAGTCACTCCCCCTGCACTCTTCCTACTGGGGAGGGCGTGTCAGACAGATGCTGCTGAGGAAGACTGAATTGCCCATGTGGCAGCAGGCGCGGCGTGGCCGGGGTGGGGGGGAAACCTGGTGACTGTCCCTCTGTGTAGACATGCGCCTGGAGCCGTGTTTCCTGCGTTGGGACGAGGACGAGTGTGGGGTCGCCCTGCCCGGCAAGTACCAGATGGACATCTGTTGCTGCTCCGTGGGGGCCGCCTGGGGGGCTGCGTGCGAGGAGTGCCCAGAGCGCGCGTCCCCGGCGTTTGCCAGCCTGTGTCCCCGGGGGCCGGGCTTCGCCAGCTGGGACTTGCTGTCAGGCCAGCCCTTCTATAGAGGTGTGTGGGGACACTGGGAGCCTGCAGGGCGGGGAGAGGGCACAGCAGAAGCGTAGGCCTGGAGGTGGGAAGTGCGCTGGGGAGAGCGCAGAGTGTCCGCAGGGAGAGCCGTGACGTCTCGGGAGCAAACCCAGGGACACTGGAGGTGTTTGACCGGCCACACGTTATGCTCCTGACCACAGATGTGAATGAGTGCAAGGCGTTCCCCGGCCTCTGTGTGCACGGCACCTGCAGGAACACTGTGGGCAGCTTCCACTGCTCCTGTGCGGGGGGCTTCGCCCTGGATGCTCAGGGAAGGAACTGCACAGGTACGGACCCACCTCGGCCTCCGGGGGGGACACCTGTGGGAATGGGGGCTTCAAAGCACATGTGGAGTCAAGACCCGTCTTCTTTGGGCACCTCTTGTCCTGCCTGCTAGCCGGCGGTGTGACCCAGGGCAGGCTGCCCTCTCTGGCCCTTAGGGACCCCAGTAAAAGGAGGCGCTGACAGAGGGGACCTCCAGGGAGGAAATTCCCTGCTGTTGGCTGGTGTGTGCCGCCCCGCTCCCCCCCCAGGGCTCATTCCGGCAGCTCAGGGTCCCACGCAGCCCCCGCTGTCTACAGATGTGGAGGCCGGTCCCCTGCCCCTTTCTCCGCAGACATTGACGAGTGCCACATCTCCCCTGACCTCTGTGGCCAGGGCACCTGTGTCAACACCCCGGGCAGCTTTGAGTGCGAGTGTTTCCGTGGCTACGACAGTGGCTTCATGCTGATGAAGAACTGCGTGGGTAGGTGGCCACGGGACCGTTGTGCAGGGTGGCCCTGGGCAGGGCGATGCCTGGCGGGTGTTGGGGCTGAGGGGAGGGGTGGTGGGGACGTTGTGTGATGGATGAGGTGGGAAGGACAGGTGTGGGGAGAAGCTGAGACCCAGCTGAGACCCAGCGAATCTGGGTGCCGCGCGGTGGCCTCCCCAAAGGCAGCCGACCAGCGGGTCTGTCACGCAGAATTGAGGCCTAGGGACCGAGATCTGGGTGAGTTCTCCCAGGGCAGGTGTCGTGTGAGAAGAGGAGAAGGGCCCTAGAGAGAGGAGCGCTCTTCCCTCCCTCCTTCCTTCCTTCCTTCCTTCCTTCCTTCCCTTTTTTATTCACTCAGTGAACATTTTATGAACCACCAAGAGGTCAGTAGCAGACAGCCAGTTTCTCAGAGCTCATGACCTGATGGGGAGACACCTGTTAATAAAATGAATTCCCAGAGACATGCAAAACGGCCACTGTGAGAAGCACCTGAGAGGGCCACGTGGTGGGGTGGGGTGTGGTCGCCAGGGATGTCCTGTTCTGGGGGGCTTGGCGTTGTGGCTGAGAGAGTGGGACTGAATGTGGTGAAGAGGGGTTGGAATATCAGCCTGAAGGGAGAACAGCAGGTGCAAAGGCCCTGGGGTGGGCCAGAGGGGTGGAAAGAGGTACACGAGACTGGAGCTTGAGGAGGGTGGTGCAACAGCCTGCTCCCCACACCGATGCCTGGAGACTGGACCTTGCCTTCCCCCTGTGTCCTACAGGGTGGCTTCTCAGGGGCTCCTTCAGTAACTCCAGGACTGTCAGCCTCGTGGCCCTGACCCTCCTGAGAATCCCAGCTTCCTTCTTGGGCTGACTTGTCCCTGCTCCTCAGCTCAGTCTCTGCTGGGTCAACTGAGCCCCAAGCCTCCAGGCTCTCCTGGGCAGCGCCAGGGTGACGGGGCCGGGGACTGCAGGGAGAAGCTTCCACGAGCCACAGCACACCGGCCCCGCCCGCATCTTCCCAGCTGCTCTCTCTTCCACATGCCCAGACGTGGACGAGTGTGTGCGGGACCCGCTGCTGTGCCGGGGCGGTACCTGCACCAACACGGAGGGGAGTTACACGTGTCAGTGCCCCCCTGGACATGCGCAGACGGCCCAGGGCACCGCCTGTGAGGGTGAGCGTGCCACCTGCGTTGGTGCTGTGCGTGTAGTAGTGCAAATGTGTGTCTGTGCACGTCTGACGAGGGACCTGCATGTGAGTGTGCGCGCATGTGTCAGTGTACATCGGTGCGTGTGCGAGGTTGCACGCACAAGACCAGAGAGCATGCGTGTGTCAGGGTGTAGGTGTGTATCTGTGCCTACACAAGAGTGAGTGTGTGAGTGGGTGTGTGTGAGTCCACATGAGCTTGCGAGAGAGAGCGTGCGTGTCTAAGCGTGCATGTGTATTTGCTCACGGGTGAGGGTGTTTGCAGGTGCAGGGGTCCGAGGGTGTGTTTGTGTGTGGGTCTGTGTGAGTGTGCCTCTGGGTGTGTGTTCACACAAAGGCAAGTATGGGTGAGAGGTGTGTTTGTGAGTCCGTATGAGTGCACGTGGTGTGAATCTGTGTGTGTGTGTGTCTACTGAGGACGATTGTGTTTGCACGTGAGTGGGTGTGAGGGTGTGTGTGAGCCTACATGAACGTGCACATGGGTGCGTGAGTCTGCGTGTGGATGTGCATCTGCTGAGGGTGAGTGTGTGCATATCGGGTGTGTTTGTGAGTCTTGTGAGCAGGCAAAGGGATGTGAGTGTGTATTTGAGTGTGGGTGTGTGTCTGTCCAGGAAGAGTGTGTCCATGCAAAGATGTGTTTGTGCGTGTATGTCTCGGGAACACGTCGATGGCAGAAGGGTCCCAGTCGGCCATCCGCTCACACCCAGCCCCCACCAGCCACATGCTCCCCCCGCAGATGTCGACGAGTGTTCCCTGAGTGACGGCCTGTGTCCCCACGGCCACTGTGTCAACGTCATTGGGACCTTCCAGTGCTCCTGCCATGCTGGCTTCCAGAGCACGCCTGACCACCAGGGCTGCATGGGTGAGACCAGGCCCACCTGCCCCACCCGGGGGGGGCCCCCAGCCCCCGCCGGCCGCCCCAGCCCCATCACCAGTCCTTCCCCGCCGCCGTCAGCCCCATGCTTGGCCCCACCCCCTGGCCCTGCCCCTCCACCTCTGCCCTGCCTCCCGCAGACATAAACGAATGCCATGCCGGGAATGGTGGCTGTGACGTGCACTGCACGAACACGGAGGGCAGCTACCACTGTGGTTGCGGCCGTGGCTACTCACTGATGCCCGACGGGAGGGCGTGTGCAGGTGTGTGGCATGGGGGAACCGACCGAGCCCGGCCCGGGTGAAGCCAGCCAGACCGGGGACAGGCCACTGACCCTGTGGCAGGGTCTCTGGGGCTCCCCCTCTGTCCCTGCCTGCTTACAGCCCAGCACCCCCCCTGCTCCCCCAGACGTGGATGAGTGTGCGGAGAACCCGGACATCTGCGACGGGGGCCAGTGTGCCAACATGCCAGGGGACCACCACTGCTTATGCTATGACGGCTTCATGGCCACACTGGACGGGAGGACGTGCGTTGGTGAGGAGCCGGGACTGGGGGGTGCAGGAGACAGCATCTGGGCTCACGCACAGGGAAGCACACGGGCCAGACAGACACCAGGCCACTTCCCTGTCGCATGCAGGGAGGGGGGACAGGCTTTGCAGCAGGCGCTGGTGCCCTCAGCCGACTGCCACGCGCCAGGGCCTGTGGGGTCTGATTCAGAGCAGCAGATGCCCCGAACCTTGCACTTTGAGCACGTCCGCCGACCACTCCCTGTGTACCTGGTACGCACACAGCTTCACACCCCGCTCCCAGGGCTGCATTTTAAGATACCTGCACACCGAGGCGCTTTATGCGTAACAGGGTGAGCAAAATGGGAAAGGCGCTCTGAACGGTTTCCTGAGCCCTGCTTGGGGACCTCGGTCTGCTGAGGCCGTGGTCACCGTCCCGTCCTGGCTGTGGGGCGTCCCAGGGCCCGGGGAGCAGGTGCCCGCCCCCTCAAGGCAGGGCTAGGGCCCGAGTGGGGAAGTTGCAGGCAGGAGAAGTGTAACCCCCCCCCCGCCCCGAAGAAGACAAGTCCCGCCCAGTGCAGCTTAGGGTCCCGATCGCAGGGAGCCTTAGGGAGTACTGCAGCACCTTGGATCAAATCAAACCGGGATGCTTTTACTGCTCCCTGCCCTTCCTGCAGATCCACGTTGGCATAAAGCCTCGGACAAGGCCTTCACTTAGCTCTGTGTGCTCTAAATGTATTCGGCCACAAAATCCTTTTGGGAACACATGCCCGATATGTACCACAGAACACGCTCTGTCACATGTCGACAGGACCTCCTGGTTGCCCAGCGGTGGAACCAGAGGGAGCTCCCCGATCCTGGAGATGGGCCGGCAGAGCCTCAGCGTGGGGGGGGGGTCCTCATGTGGCAGGGCACTCAGCCACGCTCGCGCACCCCCTCCACCCTCACCTGCTTCCTCTCTCGTCTTCCCACAGACGTGAACGAGTGTGACCTGAGCCCCCACATTTGCCTCCACGGGCACTGTGAGAACACAAAAGGTTCCTTTGTCTGCCACTGCCGCCCGGGTTACGTCATCAGGAAGGGGGCCACGGGCTGCTCCGGTGAGCTGGCAGTCAGGGGTCCTGCAGTCTGCCCCACCCCTCGGGGCTGAGCCCAGCCAGACCTCATTCTTCCAGATTCCCACGGGTGCGGTCTTGGGTTAAAGCGGGAACCAGACCCGGCCAGGCACCCCCAGGGCTCCCCTTGGCACATAGCTCTGCAGCCCCAGGTATCCCCGGCAGTGTCCCCAAAGAAGCCAACCTGATGACTTTGAGTGATACGGGGGCGAACATTTCAGCAGTTCCGTAGTCATCGGTTTAGGTGCCTAGGGCCGTAGTAACAAATTTCTCCCAGCCTGGTGGCTCACACACACAGAAGTGTATTCTCTCTCAAGAACGGTTCTGGAGGCCAGAAATCTGCAGTCAGCGTGTGGGCAGGCTTGGCTCCTTCCTGGGGGTCTGGGGGGGTGGATCTGTCCCGTGCCTCTGCCCCCTTCTGGCAGTGGTCGCCAGTCCTCAATGTTTCTCGGCTCATAAATGTGTCACTCCACTCTGTCTCCCTGTTTTCACGTCGGTTCTGTCTGTGCCTGCGTCCAAATTTCCCTCTTATAAGGATGTCAGTCATTGGATTAAGGCCACCCCAGTCCAGGATGACCCCATCCTAACTTGGTTACATTTCCCAGTAAGGTCCGGTTCACAGGTTCCAGGAATTAGGATTTGAACATACCTTTTTGGAGGACACAAAAATACAGTTATGTGGTTATTTGAATGTGTGTTAGAATCCCACGTCACAAAGCAGCATCAAGTCCATGACTTTAGAGACTGTTGTTGATGCAAAATTAGCTTTTAAAATACGTTGCAACAGTAACAGCGCAAGTATGTAAAGAAACGTTCAGTAACCAGTAGCTCACGTAGGTGGTGGAAGAACGTTGCAGAGGTGATAAGGGTGAAGCCGACTTCAGACTTGGCTGAGGATCAGAAACTCTGGTTTAGAAGAAATCCTGCTTTAGAGCAAGGACATCTGTGTTAGGACGGTTACTCTTAAGGTCTACCCTAAGTCTCTCCAGCTGCAATTTCAGACCACTGCAGAGGGCTGCGGGGAGTCGTGCCTTTTGGGTTTTGGGGTTTTTCTCCTGGGCTGTGGGTGAAGGTGGAAGCTCCTGGAGTGGGGAGGGGGCTCTCTGGGCCAGCCCTCCCCCAGGAGGGTCCTTGCTTCTTCCCTGCTGCTGCACTCTCTCCGCGCTCTGCACCCGAGGCCCTATCTCTACGAGGCCCGGGCCTTGTGGGGGTGCTGTGTCCTCCTTCCCTCTCCTGGTCCTGACCCTCCTGCGACCGGGTTCCTCTCCTCGCAGATGTGGACGAGTGTGAGCTTGGGGGACACAGCTGTGACAGTCACGCTTCCTGCCTCAACGTCCCTGGGAGTTTCAGCTGCAGGTGCCAGCCAGGCTGGGTGGGGGATGGCTTCGCATGTCACGGTGAGTGCCCCAGGGGCAGGCGGTCTGGGCAGAGCAGTGGAGGTAGGTTGGGGGCAGGTGGGGGACCGGGCGGGGGTGGCCGGGCCCAGGGGTGTCTGTGGGGGCCGGTCAGGGCTGAGATCGGAGGGTCTGCCTCCCTGCAGCCCCCCAATGCACACACTTCGGGGGCTCCGGGCTCCGTGTCGTGCAGACCTGGATGAGTGTGCCTTCCCAGAGCATTGGTGCAGCCTGAGAGCTGACTGTTTGAACGCTCCCGGTTCCTACCGCTGCGTCTGCCGCCTCGGCTTCACCGGGGACGGCTTCTCCTGTGAAGGTGAGGGCGGGGGGGGGTCCCGAGAGGGACAGCCATGGGGGCTGGATTCCGAGGGGGTCACAGTGGTCAGTGGGCTTCCCGACTCACCCCGATCCACCGCCCACACCACACGCTGGGGTGCTGGAGAGGATGCGCCTTCAGCCCGTGGGGCCGCAGGCCAGGCCCAGCGTCACTGGGGGCGGTCTTCTGCCCTGGACTCTGGATGCACGGAGCCTTCGGGATGTGGGGAGCAGGAACACTGGCTTACTTCCCGGGACCCTCCACCCGGGGCCCGGGTCACCAGGTCCCCTGTCTCCCTGAGTCCCTGGAACCCTGGGTGACCACGAAGGGTTTGATTGGGGCCCCCTGCCCACCCTGCATGAGTCCTGGCCAGCTGGCCCCCAGCCCTCTGCCTCTCGGGGTCCCGCAGACAGGGACGAATGTGCCGAGGACGTGGACCTCTGCGAGAACGGGCAGTGCCTCAATGCCCCCGGCGGGTACCGCTGTGAGTGTGAGATGGGCTTCGGCCCCACGGAGGACCACCGCGCCTGCCGGGGTGAGGCCTGGGGCTGCCGGGCTGGGGAATGCAGCAGGAGCAGGCTGCCGGGCGAGGCGGGCTGACCTGGGGTCCCCACAGATGTGGACGAGTGTGTCCTCGGGAACCTCTGCGTGTTCGGGAGCTGCGAGAACCTGCCCGGAATGTTCCGCTGTGTCTGTAGTGGGGGCTACGAGCTGGACCGCGGTGGGGTCAACTGCACGGGTATGGGGTCAGCCAGGCTGTGGGTGGGGAGGGTGCCGGGCTCCCCGCCTCCCTGCCCTCAGACCTCTTCTCCAATGTCCTGTTCTGGGGGGGCTTGTCTGACCCCCCGTCCCTAGCAGCTCCCCCACTGATCCCTGTTCCCATCAACCTGTCATCTATCATCGCCTGAATAAATGCAGTGAATGAACAAAGGTGTGCTCCCTCCACTACAGTTGTCAAAATGGTCACCTACTTATGTGCCTAAAACGGGGGTCAGCGGACTCTTCCAGTAAGGGACCAGATAGGAAATGTATGGCTTTCCAGCCATACAGTCTCTGTCACAGCTACTCAGGTGCCTTGTAGCCTGGAAGCAGACACAGGCAGTATGTAAATGAGTGGGCGTGGGTGTGTGCCAGTAAAACTTTATTTACACAAACAGGCAGGGGGCCGGATTTGGCCCACAGATAAGAGTCTGCCAACCCCTGGTTTGAAAGCATGTTCCAAGTGTCGGCTTTGTACGATAGCTGCGTGGAAGCCAGGACACAGGGAACTTTCAAGGGGCAAACCTCTGTGCCAAGTGGAACAGAGCCGGGAGGAGATGGGGTTGGACTGGGCAGGGCAGCCCCTACAGGCTGCTGTCCCCTCGGGCTTTCTTCCCAGGGGAGGACATGGCCTCGCCCCACAGCCCCACATCCGACATTGAGGGTTTCAGCTTCCCAGGAGGAAGGTGGGAGGGAAGGGGGTCAAGGGAGGGCTCCCTGCTGACGGCACCCCCCCCCACTCCGCAGATGTCAATGAGTGCGCAGACCCCGTGAACTGCATCAATGGCCTGTGTATCAACACCCCCGGAAGCTACCTCTGCAGCTGCCCCCAGGATTTTGAGCTGAACCCCAGCGGCGTGGGCTGTGTGGGTGAGTAAGCCTCGGCTCCCACTGGGGCGCCCGTGGTAGGTGAGTGGGGCGTACCACTTGCTAACTGCCCCTTTCCACCTGTTCAGACACCCGGGTCGGGAACTGCTTCCTGGACACGCATGACCGAGGGGACGGTGGCATTTCCTGCACTGTGGAGATCGGGGTTGGCATCACCCGCGCATCCTGCTGTTGCTCCCTGGGACGGGCCTGGGGCAACCCCTGTGAACCGTGCCCGATGGCCAACACCAGTGAGTCCCGCGGTGGGGGGACACAGGCGAGCACGCTCCAGGACTCACGGGGTCGTCTTTGCTACGGGAGGGACCCTGAGAACCAGAGAGGGAGAGGGGCTGCCCTGGGTCACAGAGCACATTCTTGGTAGTTCATCAGCTGTGCCTCTCTCGAGGTCTCTTTCTGCCGTCCCGTCTGGCAAATTCTCTGTGTGTTTCTATTCACTTGCTTCCTCAGTCAGGCAGCAAACACCGAGAGTTCCTCTGTGCGCTGCGCAAGGGGCTGGGGACCCAGAGAAGGATGAACCACAGCCCTACACACTGCCTCACACCCATAAACCGGTGGTCCCTGGGCTGTGGGAGTAGAGCAATTCTAAGGGTTTGCTTGAGGCTCAGTGATGGCCGTGGAGAGGAAGAGGGTAAGGGAAGCCTTCCCAGGACAAGGGGCTTAAATGAGGTTTGGAAGGATGAGCAGGAGTTTTCCAAGTAGAGCAGGGGGAAGGGTGTGCAGTGCAGTGGGAATAGCATGTGCAAAGGCCTCAGGTTCACACACCTGTCCACCTATTCAGGGGTGTGTGTGTGTGTGTGTGTGTGTGTATATCTATGATGTCCAGGGTCTTTCTTTCAACGGGGGAAATTTGCAGTCACACTGGTCTGGTTTTAGGTCAGAAGAAATTGCCCCTCTCTACTCCCAGCTACTAGCACACAGTGCATCTGTTCACGTGTTGAATGTGAACACATTTACACACACATGCGCACGCACACTTGTGCACGCACACTGTCCCCTCCTCCCAGATTGGCCAAGGTCTCTTGGCTCCAAGAGGCTGAGATATAGGGTTTATAGTTGGTGTAGGAGAGGGATGCAGGGCCCCCATCCTGGAGCCCTTTGTAGGGGACCTCAACTCCCCTGCCTCCCCTCCTCGCCTTGCCTAAATGCCCCTCCCCACCGCCCCTCAGAAGAACCTGTTTCCCTTACAGCTGAGTACAGAACCTTGTGCCCCGGGGGCGAGGGCTTCCGGCCCAACCCCATCACTGTCATCCTGGAAGGTGAGTTCCTGGCAGACCATCCACCCACGTACCCACTGATTGACCTTTCTCTCAGCGCCGCTTCACCAAAGTGCGGTTGTGGGGGCCCCACATCCTCCTGCCGTGAGGTCAGGCTGTGAGACTAAACTGTTCTTAGTGTGTGGTGAATTTTTTGTTTTTTCTTTCATCTACCTTTTCTTCCACCTGTTGGTTTATTGACCCATCCTCCACCCATCCATCTATCCATCCCCCACCCACCCATCTATCCATCCACCCATCCACTCACCCATCCTTCCTTCCCTCCATCCATCCACACACACATAATCCCCCATCCCCCCATCCAGTCGTCTACCCATCCATCCATTCCTCACTCATAAATCTTCCATCCTTTATTCGTTCTTCCCTCCCTCCCTCCCTTCCTGTCTTCCATGCATACATGCATTTATCCATCCACTCACTTATCTGTCCATCCATCTATCCATCCATCCATCCATCCATTCATCCACTCATTCATCTTGTCATTGACCCACTTGCTTATTCATCCACTATTTTTTATACTCATCCATCCATCCACGTAGTCACCTATCCAGTGACCCATCCATCCGTCCATGCATCCATTCTTTTTTTTAAGTAAACTCTATGCCCAAAGTGGGGCTTGAACTCATGTCCCCGAGATCAAGAGTATTGACTACCAGCTGAGCCAGCCAGACGCCCCTCATCCATCCATCCTTTTATGTACAGGGGAAGATAAGATTGGAGAGTTCCATCCAGGGGGAACTATGTGATGGTTGGATAGATGGATAGATGGATGGTTTGGATGGATGGGAGGATGGACTAGGAAATGAAGAGAAAGGGGATGAATTCAGGGTGACACTGGCCCAAAAGAGTCTAGGTGCAGCCTCCAAGATAGGCCCTGGCCTGAACCCTCCAGATAGCCAACAGCTCTCAGGTATTCTCGAAGAAACAGCTTGGCTCTCCTCTGGGGCCCCGGAAAGCCCAGGCAGGGTGTCGGTGTCCCCCGAGGCCTCTGCTTAGGCTTAGCTTCCAAGCACGGCTTCCTCGCTTCCTGACAGACATTGATGAGTGCCAGGAGCTGCCTGGGCTGTGTCAGGGGGGCGACTGTGGCAACACGTTCGGCAGCTTCCAGTGTGCATGCCCCCCTGGCTACCACCTCAATGGGGACACCCGCACTTGTGAGGGTGAGTATGCACCCTCCCCCCCACCCCACCTTCCTCCCTAGTGGCACCTCCCTCCTCAGGTGCTGGGGCCTGAAATGCCCCTAGGGGCCAGCTCACCTGCCTTGCTGCAAGGGGTGGGGGGGTGGGCATCGGGAGGTGGGGAAGGCTTCCTCGGAATCCCTCTGGCTGCCCTCTGCTCTGCTGCCTCCCTCTGACTTCCTACGTGTGCAGAAATGGCCTGGCTTTGCTATAGCAGCTACGCCTTCCCTCCTTGGGGCAAAAGCTGACCCAGGCCCAGCACTGGGAGTGGGAAGGGATAGACACAGAGGGAGTAGCTACATTGCTCCTTCAAGCAGCGCTTCACGTGCCTCCTTCCCGCTCTCCTTTGTGCATCGTAGTAACGGCCAGCAGGTACCTGGACTCTGAGACTGTGTGTCACCACTACACCGAGCATCTTCCATTGTCATCTGTTCATTCACCGCAACAGCCCCATGAGGGGGATGTTCCTTTTATGATCCCATTTTTCAGATGCAGAAACTAAGGCTCAGGGAGATTAAGTGACTTGTCCAGAGGCACCCCCAGCCATTCTTTAAGACTTTATTTTTATTTATTTGACAGAGAGAGACACAGCGAGAGAGGGAACACAAGCAGGGGGAGTGGGAGAGGGAGAAGCAGG